GTAAATCATGTTTTTAACATAGGAAACTCTCATATGGTAACTAAAACAATGCTAGTCCAGAGTATTACTAGTACTATGCACATTCCTGTATGCATATACCTATAATACATTACTTAGATTGGCTTTTCTTTTTCCATCTTGATTTCAGAGGTCAAAAACATTTTTCAGTTTTCTTTCAATCATATAGTGGTGTAGACTAGTATTTTAAGAACATTTTGCTAGAAAACTTTTTTGGATATGATGCCCCGTTATGGAGTTATAATTTTTTTAAATGATGTCAGAAAATCGGTCCAAAAGCTTATCTTATTTCTGTTGGTTACACACCGCTGATTCGCAATGTTTGTCATCACTTCAAGATGTCAACCGATTCATAAAAAAGGCCTTATAAAATGTCTTTCTGATTTAACAAGATGTTTTTTAAAGATTCTTATTATTTTAACAGGCCATAATCATCAGTGCAAAATGATTTAACAATATTAATTTTAAATTTTGAAGGGTTACATTTTAGGCAGGGAGATCTGTTATAATGATCTCTGTAATTTCCAACTGTCTCACTTTTGGAAGAATGACCATTTGTAACGACCAAATTTAGTTTAATTCACATCACACATGTGACATTGACTCATCCAAGTTTAGATTACCTGAGACAACACAAGCATATCCAAGGCATGATTGCTCATTGCGGGCACTCCATATTTGCCTAATCTTGATTAAAATAATCAAGCCAGCAGTAGATCGTGGCCACCCTGATACATCACACACCTTGCATCTCGCAACAAACATCTAAAATCCTGCAAGGCTAATCACTCATCTTGCATCAAATTTACTTACTTCCACTACCAGAGCATGGCTTTAAAGTCTGGCTCCAGAGAAATAATTGTTTTTGATATGTTGTACAACTGATTTTTTTTCAGACATATAAAGCATATTTGACGAAAAACTCAGGAACGGTAAAGGAGATACAGATTTTTAAATATTTAAAAACTGGGGGGAAAAGGGTTGTAACCACCCCTTTTCCACCTTTCCCCCAGTTTTTAAATATTAAAAAATCTGTATCTCATTAACTGTTCCCAAGTTTATCGTCAAATATGCTTTTTGTGTTTTAGAATAATCAGTTTTACAATATATCAATACATTTTTTTCTCTCCGGAGCAGGACTTTGAAATGTTCCTGCTAGGTCCCAGTTTGGTTGTCACTGGTAGTTATATTTCTGTTGGTTGAGGATGAATTCAGTGAGGGGTCAGAAAATAATTTGAATGACTATATTATCTCCAGACAGATTGGTAATATGAATTTCAAATTCAGTTATATGGCTTTAACAGTGGGTACATCTCTCGCTATAGTATTCATTTGCTGCTTGATAAACTTCGGAGGTTGTTTGCTGACAACAGTATTTTGCATGATTACTGCTTAACCTTATACACGCATTTATCTTTATTTAAAAAGATACAATAAAACACATAGACTATATATACTGATTGAAATTCAGTGTATTAGCCTGCCAAACACAGCTAGGTGAAAACTGTTCACAAGATAATTACAGTCAGTAATGAATGAAAAGTTGTAAAAATCCAAATTTCAAGAGAAAACATTAGCAAAGTGCATTCACTGCAGTGTATGCTTTTCGTTAAGCAAATGAAGTTTAGGCGAGACTTTTTTTATACATTGTTTAGCCTTGGAGGAAGTATATTAGGTTTAGCAAACCCGCCGACTGTAAATATTGATGATTTCGAATAAAAATAAAATGTTTGTGTTGGCCAATTAGCGAAGCCGCCGCTACAAAAGAGTGGAGATTTTCAGAAAAAAATAAAAGTTTTTCTTTATTTTTATTACGCCCTCTGCTACTTTGCAATCTCCAAAGATAAAATATGCATTTCTTCCTAATTATATACATTTGAGGCATTTAACCATCCTATTTTACATTTACCAATAACATTTTTTTTTTATTTTCTCCTGCATTTAGATGCTTTTGGTAAAAATATTTGCTAAATAAAAAAACAAATTTCAATTTTTATTCCGCCCACCTCCGATGATCTTTAAAAAAATAATTACGCGAAACAAGGAATAAAAAAAGTCTTGTCTTATCTGTAAAATTTAAGTGAGTCGGAACATTGCGATTTAATGCTTATTATTCGTGCTACTGTTATTTGAAAAGTCACATGCACATCTTTTTTCAGGCGTCAGTCATCTTAATCCCTACTTAAAGCATGTTGTAGTACTGTATATATTGCCTCACATTAACCATCTTGCATCTCACATTAAACATCAATAAAACACATCACATATCTTGCATCTTACATTAAACATCACAAATCCTGCAATGCACATCACACATCTTGCATTTCACGTTAAAAATCTGAAATCATGCAAAGAACATGTAGATGTTTAATTACGTTTATGTGGTGCTTATAAGTTTTGTATGTCTGATATTTGTACTGTATAGATATTTTTTGATAGGTAAATGTTGTTATTAGTACTTTTTATTGTGTTTTTATATCTGTATCTACATAAACCTTTTATATGTACATTGCATTTTAACCTGTTAGTAGCGGTTATCGCTGTTGGTTAATGGGAATAAAATAAATAGATAAACATCTTGCATCTCACATCAACCATCTCAAGTCCTCCAAAGCACATCACATCTTAAATCCTGCAGAGCATATCACACAACTTTATCTCATGCCAACCATCTCAAATCCTATAAAACCACATCACACATTCTGCAAAACAAGTCACATATATTCATACAGGATATACCGTATGCTGTCAGTAGCAATTTGGCTAGTTGGTATGGTGTGAAAAGGATTAGACAAATAGAATCACATCACACACCACTATTCTGTACATTCCTCCATTTTTCAAACAATCACCACAAACAGGCAATAAATATTGTACATAAAAGTAGACAAATTATAAACAGTAGTGAAAATTTTTGCCTAATGCAAGTATTTTTTATTTGTTTTAAATATTTTTTTTTTTTCTCTCCAAAAGATCTCGGCAAGAACACCTAATATGTCAAATAATGGAAAACATGACGTTATCGTCATTGGAGCAGGCATAAGCGGTTAGTACATTTTATTATTAATACATTATTTCTAATATTTCAACAATATCTATCTCCATCTCCGGTCAGTAAGTATAATCATACCACCATCTTCCACTCCCTTAGATATTCAAGTCATTATATATCAAGTACCAATTTAAATAAGTAAGTAGACAAAATGGCAGTTTTGAATCATTTAAAGAGATTGATTTAGTGATTTGTAAGTGGCTTTTTTTTTCAGTTGATCCACTCAAAATTGAACTTGAATTTTTACTAGACCAGGAAAAGAACCTTCGTGTTTCTGCAGTAGAGCACATACTATTAAATAATGGTGGTTGAAATGCCAGTTACCTACAGTACCTACACTATGATCTTTTTGATGGACCAAAATGGAATGCTACAGTATTAAAGCTTTTTGTTGTTAAAAATATTTAAACAACTAAACTGATGTGATGACTGCTAATATTGTATCTCTTATGCTTTTATTTATTAAACATAATTTAGAAAGTAAACTACAAACTTGTAAGGCCTTATTAAGATCGGAATATTCACTAATGAGTTGATATACAACGTTGTTATATAATTGAAATTATTTATTAATTAAAATTGATTTATTTAAAATTATAATTTATTCTATGAAATATCAAAAATCATATTCTTAAAAAAAAATGTTATAAATTGGATTTACCTTAATATTGATTATTTAATAAAGATTTTAATAAAATTTAAACAACTTAAAGCTTGAACATTCTGTCATAAAAATTATTAATATATTGGTTAAATTAAATGATGAAAAGAAGGAAAATAAATAAAAGAAAAAGAAAGTGAAAGGTTTAAGAAAGGAAAAAAAGGAACAGAAAGATGAAAGAAGGAAAAGGAAAAGGTAAACAAAGAAAAATAAAGAATGGTAAAGAAAAATACTAAAAGATAAAGAATAAAAGCAAAGAAATAGTGAAAAGTAAAAGAAGAGAGAGAAGTAGAATGATAAACGAAAGAAAGGAAAAAAGATACAAAACGAAAAAGGTGTCTACTGTACATTATGCGAATTTACAATTATCATAATTATTCTGATGGCGTTTGCATCTGGTGATTTAATAGGAATGATGTTTTGCCCTACTTGACATATTATCATGTACTCAATGCTCATTACGTTCCCAAATACTTGTGAAGAAAAAAAATCTTGCAAGTGATTAAGGTGGGAATCAATTGCAAGGTTTTTTAATTGGGCATTCAGTGTGAATCTTTGGAGCTATCTATAAAGAATTTCTAATTATGTCAAGCCTTATTTTAGGTTCATGGAGGTATATAGTAATTGTACAACTATTACTACTATTTATACTCAATACGTCCACTCATGTTAATACTGTCTCAATGCCTGGGAGGCTGCACAACAAATTATCCATTGTTGGCTTGTATGACCAATATTAAGAACAATTAACTAATGGTTGCTTTTGTAAGCATACACTTAGATTTCGATTAGTTTCTTTTTTCGTTCCAAAGCTAACAAAAATTTGTGCGGTACTTGCATTACTGTAAAATTGATTATGTGTGAAAACAATAAATTATATAACAATGTGCTTATTAATGTGCAAGTAAGGTATTGCTTTCATAGAATAATACTATATCATATTGACCCAGTGTTACCGTAATCAATATTGATGTGGTTACTATCATTAACATATACCATATTTATTCGAATAAAACTACAGTACAACACATAATTACCACCATGCAAAATGTGTTATTGCGTGATCATGAAGGCTTAGAACAAATGCAATTCTACTGGAGTAGAGGATTACTATTATGTCTTGAGAATGATGTTTGCTGCTATTAGTTTTTGTTTATCAGTCATATAATGGGGGAATTTATTCGAGCAAAAAATAACACACCTAGGCATTTATTCGAGGAAGCATTTATTCCAATGAGGCGTTTATTTTAGGCGGCGTTTACTGTATTCAAAGCGGGGTAATTATTTAAATAAATGTAATTTTTTCAACATTCACACTTCTGCAACCTTGGCTACACATAGAATTATAACAGAGTGGACATGTAGCTTGGAATTTGATGTTTAAGATGCATTACCTTCCACTATTAAGTACTGGTCATGGCTTTATAAAGTTACATGCGTGGTGAGTTTGGGACCTACTAGATGTGAAGGAAATAAAAAACTGCTGTGGTAGTATTGTTTTAGTTGAACACATTCTAAATCATGTTCTTACCAAAGCATATGTTTTTTTGTACAAATTTTGTCTAGGTGACAGTATCACATGGAAAAAATTATAATCCAATCTTTATAGTGTAATTATATAGTGTAGACCTTACAAAATTAAACATTTAGAAATTTTCTCAAATTACCCTGCATGCAAGTGCTACAACTTTCGTGTAGTGCCTGAAAAAAAGCAATCAATATTGTGTACAATTAATTATACTTTAGAGTTTCTCTGTGATTTGCGCAACCCTGGGCATTATAATTTCTGCTTTCAGTTGCACCTGCATTATCGGTTCATTTCCTGTGACCAAGGAGGCTGAACATTTTTTACACGGTCGACATGATTGGAACTTAAATCAAGACATTTTCTGGCAGTAGGCCACATTACAATCTCTGTGAATTTACATTGACTTTTTCTTATTTATTTTGTATATTATATTACTTTTGCCGAATGAATACCCACATTGATATGACAATGTACTTAAAATAAGATAATAAAGGTTTATAATATATAGAAATTAATTATACTGTATAAATAATCAAAATTATAGTATTAACTTAAAATACACTCTTGAATATTAGCTAATAAAATGTTAAATCTTTTAATTTTTTTTAAATTTTTTATCATCCAGAATATTGTATGAATTTTTGTGCTGTTAATCTTCCAAAGATTCCAAGATCAAAAGATTTGTATTTTGAAAATGAAATAATTTTAATAAGATACTTTCCAGTTTGCAGAAAATTTTTCTTGAATAAATTGAAAAAACTTAAAACTGGTCACGATGCCAATTCTCTGACATTATTGGCACTAGCACAAAATTAGAAATGCTGACCAAGTTTTGGCCAGAGCCATTTGCAAAAGACCTCCAGTTATTGATTAGGAATTATTGATTAGAAATTCTGTTAGGTTTTAAATGGAAAAAAGAATTTGAATACGGGAGGCTTAGATTCATACATAATATTCAAGATTCAAAATATATTTTTCTACAATGCATATAATTTTTTTTTTTATGAAACCGTATTCGTTGCTGTTTGAATGTTTTCACTTTCCATTGTAAATTGGAGCCAATTCCTTTTGTAAAGCAATTCAAAAGGTCAATTAAAATTAACTTGCTTTCACACATAATAGCTGATAATAGCATACTATATATACTATATATATATATATAATTGTGAGCACGGTACAGTCATGTGACTGGGTATACAGTTGTGATTGGATATATATGTACTTATGTACTGTGTGTGTATTTCATGTACGTTTGTATAGTGTTTGTATAATTGTTCATGTGATTGTTTGCATCGCTTCATTTTGCCTTAAATTTTTTAGTTTTAGGATTGCTTTTAATTTAATTGCTTCTCCTTAATGTCCTTTTGAAATTTTGAATTGTCGTTTTCTTAGCATAAGTCTTTTTTGTGAACTTTACTGTACATTTTGTTTTGGACGCACCTTGATTGAGAAGTGTGCCACTGATTGAAAAGTGTAGTTCCTAATAAAAATTATTTAAAATTATAAAACAAAATTGCTTAAAAGGCATGAATCACCAGTTTGCTCTTGTTTATCTTGTAGTTGGTGATTTTGGTTGGTAGGCATTATAGGCCTCTTACCAAGAAAAACAAATTAAATTAATTGTCAAAATGTTAAGAAGACTGCCTCCTTCCCCCCCTTCAAACCTTTGCGTGCTATGTTTTTCAGCATTTTTTTCCATTATCATTTTACAAGGATGGAGGGTTTGTAGAAGCGAATGTGACAATCAACATCTTCACAATATGAGAATACCTGTACCGATTTAAGGTAAAGTGGGTGGTGGTGGTGGTGGTGGTGGTGACAATTTAAGTTTTTTTGCAGTTTTTCTCAAGTGCAGTCTAAAATTCAAAAGATCCTTCTTTTAGCTCGGACAAGCCAGCTTCACAGATACATCTAATTAATATGCAGCGCCCAAAAGTATTGGTCTTCAGACCACAACTAAAAAGATAAAGCAAACTTTTGATAATAGGAAAACCCTTATACACTGCATTACATGATACTGTTTGTCATTTAATCAAGTGAAAATTGAAATACAAAGAATACTGGTACATCAGCGTTTGACTATGAAAATCAAATAAATGTTGACCCTAAAAAAGTAAAAAAAAAAATAAATAAATAAAAACAAAATAATATAAAAACTGAATACATTTGAAATTCTTGATCTCAAGTAAACACCAGCAGTGATTCCGTCAACGGATCCCATCAATGACTGCCTTATGACTTTCGAAGAAGACGGCTACTACAACAGTAAAAGTAACATGGAAAATTCTTGTAAATTAACCAATAATGCAGTACGTACTGTTTGTAACGTTTCGATCCGTTGTCAATGGGCCTTATTGGTTTACTTACTAATTTTCCATGTTCATATATCCATAAACCAGATGAAACTATATGAGCTTGCAGTAACAGTAACTACAAAAAATTATACAGTCGTTATTTTGAAAAATTGCAACTAAAAAAAGGGTTATGAAAGTATATGGAAACAGCCAAGCAGATTTCGGCTGATTTGGAAAAGGCTTTCCTCTGTGTTACCGCAACATAAGGCATAGATCTAGAGTTACTTTGCTCTACGCATAAGGCCTGTTTTCGGGCCTGTTTTAACTAGGAATATTTATTCGCACAAGTCGAATGCGTCGGTTTGCTTCCTGAGCTCTGATTTATTACCTTCTTTTTTTTGCTTCGCAACCAGTAGAAAATAGAAATGTGAATGTGCATGAACTGATTCAAAGAGATGAACGTTAACATTTTCAAGTTTTGTAACTATATTATTCTGCAATAGAGGCGTAAACTATTATGTACAATACAAATTTAGTAATACATAAAAATTTATTATAATCTGTAAAATGTTGTTGCAGTATGCAGAAAGCCAGTGCTTCGAGTCCTTAAGTAGTCAAGTCAAGCACAATAAAGCAAAGTCAAGTGATGCCTAGACCCTCCTAGACATGGTGACCTATGATGTAATGTTTAAGCATTCTGATTGGCTTTAACTTATAATATGGCTCTAAATACCTGCATAAAAACACTCTCTACCAGGTCTTTGTCACTAGACTACAGGTAGCCCCCTTGACCTAGGCCCCAGCTGTACACATCTATAAAATACACATGCTTCTATGATGGCTTGTTGTTGTAGACATAAGGAATTATAGAGTATTGAATTTTAGATTTTCTAGACAAAGATACATCCTGTTTATACTGATTTGATTTTTTGACCTTTGCTTTATGCAACAAATGAGAGAAACTTGTGGTATTCATTTCGGCGTCTCTTGTTGAGGTTTATGTGTCTGATTCATTTTGTATTATAATTACAATGGCATTTACTTCTAACTATTGTTGGATGATGACCTGAAATTAAAAAAAAAAGTTTTTTGTTACGTGTCTTATATTATATTTTTAAGTTAATGTGATAGGATTAGAATAATGCTAGAATGCAAATGTTTCATTGAAGGCGTATTTAATATATAAATCTACTGATGGTATACTGAATATATTTACAATTAAATTGTTTTTGTTATACATAAAGATTGAATTATTTTTCTTTTTGTCATCAATTATTATCATCGGTATGTCAATCTAACTCCCGTGAATGACCCAGCCATAGGTAGGACAGAACATAAGACTGTATACAGTACAGGTATAATCGTTTATCAGATAAGCAGGTTATCACTTTTAATATGAATCTCATTCCTACCTTCCTCATCTTATCTTTTTTTCATCCCCTGAGTATTTCATATCCTTCCTACTTAATGCCTTTCTCATCATAATCCCTTCCTCCCATTTAACCTCTCATTCCTGATGCCTCCTCTCTAGATTGGACTTTTAATGTTAGTTTTTTGGTTTTTTTAAAATTTTTTTAGGTCTATCAGCAGCCAAGCTTCTTCACGATCAAGGATTGGATGTCGTGGTTCTGGAAGCAAGGGATCGAGTTGGTGGCCGTACATACACTTTGAAGGTACATAGTCTGGCAAAGTCTCTTAAAGTGGGGTTCCACAGGAAAAGATGGTGGTTATGCCCCTTTGATATTTCCTGTGTGTCCGAAAACCATCATGCGTTGCTTTTATGCTCAGTATAAATCCTTTATACAAACGATTGATGTCGGGCCTTAAAAAACAAGTGGTTTTTTACTCCAAATATGGTTAGTAGACCGCACACATAGAATTTACCCGCCAGTGATATAGGTGGACCCTATAAATATAGACTTATTTTTTTAGCTTTTTTTTTTGGTCATATTTAAATTGTATTGATTACTGTCATGAGGTTAAGTGAATTTTTTTTTGTGAAGAGGCTGTCTATAATTTATTTTGTAATTTTCTCCACATGAGTATACTAAGTCTGTAGTTTGATTTCATCTTAAACAGGAATCAGCAGAGAAGTATGTGGATGTTGGTGGATCATACATCGGTCCAACACAAAACCGAATCATTCGTCTTGGCAAAGAACTCGGTATTGGTAACTACAAGGTTAATGAAGAGGAAAGAAGTGTATTTCTAATAAAGGTGATAAATAGTTTAATTAGTTAATTAATTTATTTCATCAGAGGCTAAACTCTTCTTGTCCTTAAATAGCTTTTAATTTGCACAAAAGCTTGACACTACAACGGATTCACTCATCTGTTATTGAAGACCTGGCTACAAGGTATCCAGTGCCATTGGTTGTTCTCGTCAACCCTGCATACATCTTTTTATTTGGTGACCCTTGCAAAATAATCATAGCTTACCAAGAACATACAAATTACAAGAAATACTATTATATCGATTTCTGCATGACTTGACCACCAATTCATTATCAAGAATCATGAGTATTTCATGACATAGTAAGGTAAGACTTTTTTTATACCTTGTTGGGCCAACCCTTCGCCCGCCAATATTGATAATTTAATTTAATTTAATTTTTTAAAGTTTATTTTTGGCCAATTGGCGCACACACTAAAACTCTGTTGCGATATTCAAATTTTCTTTGACAAAAAAACTGTTGTATGCCCATATATTGTCATGATGTGCCTATATATGGTCATGATGTGATGTTATCATCACCATATTTAGTCATGTCACATGGTCTTGTCAAATAAAATTTCATAAAGCCATAAATAGACATACATGAATTTAAATGTACTACAGCTTTCACCCACAAGTAGAAATCTTCGGGAGATGTACAAATATTTATACATTTCAGTACTTATGTTAAATTTATGTTAGTCTGTATTAAGCTATCACTTTCACCTTTTATATTGCTGCAATTAGCCTATCATGGCTACATTACTTATATTTAACATCTAGTAGTAGTGTAGTTACCAAAATATGTTACACATTATATTCATTACATCATAATTATCTTCTAATGATTTTCAAATGTTTTCCATCAGTTTTTGTCAAAAGCACTTTGTATTCTACTTATTGTAATTACTTATATTCAATGTACCAGTAGTATTGAAGTCACCACAATCACACATTTTATTCAATTACATCATAATTATCTTCTAAATTAATTGTTTTTAAATTTTTTCCATGAGCTTTTGTTAGCACTTTATATTTTACTTATTCCCATTCTAAATTTTATTTATTTTAAAATATTTACCCAAACTTTCCTGAACACTATCTGTAAATATTCCCATTTGTGCAATAATTCCCCTGGCTTCTAGACCCTGTTGGATATACTGTAAGTCTGGTGTACAAACACAAAACTCAGGCATTCAATTAATTATTTCTCTCTTTTATTTGTTTATGTATTTTCTCATTCATTTTATTGTAAATATGTGACATTAAATACAAAATAAATCAAATGAAAAAACTATCGGATTTTAATCTTCATAATAATATCATTTGCAACCATCTAACTATTGCATTGTGATTATTATTGATAGATGCAAAGGACTATCTAGGAATAATATAATTATATAAAAGACTTTTCTCTTTAGGTAATTTTATTTTACCTCAATAATTTTTGTTGATTTTCTTAGGATTTTTCAGGCAAAACAATAAAAAAAGAAAAGACGACACATAGTTGGTATTTTTGCTAATTTATTTATTTTTTAAAATTTATTTTTTAAAATTTTTTTTGTATATACACCTTCAGATTTGTGGCACACGTTTATAGTGAACGATGCATCCAATACAAATATTTAAAACAATTAGCACAAATATAACAATAGTACAGAAAACTAATCAACATATTTTTTATTATGTAAACCAAATTTAATTGTAATTTTGTCAAAGTATTGATGGATTTTAAAATAATAAAAAGTAATTTATTTACTGTATAAACTATCTTGAAACAATATCCTCCTCAGCTCTGTATTCCTTATATTTGTTTGTTGAAATGGGAAGCTCATCTTAAAGGTCAATGATTTCTTCATCATTTCAAGATTCAAGATACTTTACTGTCCCATTTTAAAATAGGAAATTTGTTTTTCCTTTGGAACAGTCTTGGCTAAAAGGATAAAATTACATGAAAAATCACAAGACAAACAAGTTGGCAATGACAAGGTTTTTCCAGAGACACAAAACATCCTTTTTCTCTGAGTTCTCCACCCCTTAACTAATAGTGTACTGTAAATGCTCGAATACGCGCTACGGCGCTTAGAACATTTTTGGAGGCTTCAGTGTGGGCTACGAGAGCGGCGGTTATTCGAGGGCGGTGCTTTCCATGCCCGTTTCAATGTTACTTATCGCACATATTCCCATGGGCTCGGTGCAGGTCTTATTCAAGAACGGTGCTTATTCAAGCATTTACGGTACATAATAAATGATAATTATTGTCATTTTTAGATAATCATTGAGCAGTAAGTGTACATAGACTGCTGACCCCTCCTTTATGCATGTGTGGTACTCTAAAAATAATGAATGACCTCTTAACCTTTTGTGACATGAGTTGTTAATATCCAATCATTTCAAACTTTTCTAGCACTTAACTAATGTAACAAGATTCTTCCATTTCTCTTCACTTTCGATTTACGTAGAACAATAGTAAATATTAATGCCTAACAAGAATGTAATATTTGCTTATTTTCAGGATAAGCCGCAAACATTTAGAGGGTCATTGCCTAGCATTTACAATCCCTTTACAGTCATGGACTACGTCAGTTGCTGGAGGACGTTTGATGACCTTGCGAAAGAGGTTTTTTTTCTTGTTTTCTAGTTTAAGCTTTGACACAAACCACAACCATTGGTGACAATGAGATAAAAGAGAGAAAATGGAGAGAATCATTATCTTCAACATTTGAATGCACATAGCTGCTGTATAAACTGTCATATTTTTAATTATTATAATTACTATTTAAACATTAAAATTTTTATTTGATAAATGACATGATATTGATGATAATATTAACGTTAGTATCACTAATTTTAATATCATTGATTGATTATCTTTGTTTTAAAATACGCTCATCTACTTGCAAATTTATTCATGTATTTATTTATTGTTAGATTTAAAGATAACATTTATTGTCCAATATGACACTAAACATCCATTTAAAATACAGTATAAACACATACAAGCAGGTTAAATATTAATAATATTATATTAATATTTTTCTGTTATTACTCTTAATGGTAATACAGTAATAATTTAGCTTTCCTCCTGACAATTAACTATTTTCGCCCTGCATTTAGATTCCCGCAGAAGCGCCATGGAAATGCCCTCATGCACTGGAATATGACAGCATGAGCGTAGAAAATTGGATGGACAAAAACTGCTGGAGCAATTTCTCAAGGGACACAATTACCATTCTCGTACGGCTGGGTTTTGCAACTGAACCTTGCAGCGTCTCATTTCTGTACTTTTTGTGGTACATTAAGTGTGGGGGAGGTGAGTTTAATATTGATCGATTGATTGATTGATGGTTCAATTATTTTGTTTCATCCAAGTTTGTATACACCCGAAGTCCGCTTGTTATGTTTCTGTGTATGTGGCCATGACATTATGTAGGCTCTACAATGATATTTTAAACAAGCAGAATGCATCTGTAACTGCCATTAACTTCATAGAAACAATGGCCCTTGCAGGTTATAAACATTATAATAGCATAGCAAACTTTTAAATTATGCTTATTTTACTATAGAATTTTACAGTTGTTCAACAGTGATTAAGTTCACTTTTGGGGTGTCCTGTCTCATATTGTCTCTGCTTGTTCTTTGCTGTTTCCTTTATTAGTTCCTTTGTGACCAAGGTCACAAGGAACTAATGGGATAATTCGAACATGAAATGTATGTGTGTGTGTGTGTGAGCAAAGTGGCAGCGGGTTTGTAAACGAATAGGCTCCTAAACGGTGCCTCGCGGTGGGTATAATGTTTTCCTCATAGTAACTGGTGGACATGTAGTTGTGCAAGAATTGTTTGTTTTTTATGTTAGATGAGAAATGTAGGACGTACGCGATAAAACATATACCCCCTACCACCATTTTTTGAGTCGTTTTATAGGAGAAAATTTCGATATGCGCATGCGTCGAAAAACTTTGCCGACATTTTGTTTTTCATCGCGAGAGGGTAAGCGAGTTCCATAATGCATACCTTGTTGGTGTAGTTGACCAATTGTTTACGGA